CATTTTTATTTATATGTGAATATGTAGTTGGGGGATATTAGAAAACTTGATTCATCTGAGCAACCGAGAAAAGAAGCTGCTCATAAAAGTTTGGTTCAAACTCTTACAGTCATAAGTTAAGCTACGAAAATATAACTTATATAGAAGTACAAAGTATATTCAGTGGTGCAGTGTAAAAGTTGAATTAATATAATGCTAGATACTTTTGCTATATGATAGTTTTGAGCATGTAAGTTCTCCTTGAAACTTATCATTGCAAGGTAGAGTTTTTTGGTTTTTTCCTCTATGATAGAATACTACTATCTTCCCATATATAAATCATGTTTTCCCGTTCATAAATGTGGTTGAAATATTGAGTATGTCCTAATAGACATTTTTTGTATGTGTTGGTACGGGGGCATTCGGGGATCATAATGAAAATCAAGAATGACGAAGTGACGTACAAAGAGATCATTTTAAAGATATAAAATGTATATTTACTAGTAAATGAATGTATATCTTATTTTTCTTATGCGTTGTCAAAATTACCTATAAACTTCTAGCTATTTTTTATTGGAAAATAAAGTATAATGTAAATTTCAATGATCTATGAAATGAGTTTAACTTCCTAATGCCTTCGTTGGAAATTAATCCATTATTTCTTAATTATATTGTTATAAAATTTGTATAATTTGAATATAAATTTGTTTAATTTATATTTATAAAGCACATGATAATTTAATTCTGTAACAAAAACTTTCAGCAACAAAATTTGTTGTTGCTAAAGTAAAAATGTTTTTAACAACAACTACTATTGTTGCAGAAAAGTTCTAAGTACAAAACAAAAAAAGTTTTCAGCAACAAAATTTGTCATTGCTAAAGTAAAAATATTTTTAACAACAACTATTATTGTTGCGAAAAACTTCTAATCACATACTCCGTATCAGGTAATATTGAAATTTGGCAACAACAACATTTTTGCTATAGAAATGTTGTAGCGAAAGAATAATTTTTGGCAACAAAAATAAGTCGTTGCAAATACCTTTGGTAACGGCATCATGGATAATAAGCGAAAGTCGTTGCAAAAAATGTAAACTTGTTGCCAAAGATATTTTTAACAGCTTCTTTCGTTGCCAAAAAGCAAACAAATAATCGGACTAAAATTAAAGTGACTAACTAAATACTTTGAACTTTAGAATTGAAGCACTAAATAAAACTTTAACAATTACCTAAACTGAACCTTGTAACGAATTGTGAATGGTCACTTGTACAACCAGTGCCACTCTTAAGACCATCACCACGGTGTCCTTTCGGACAAGAGCACTTGTAGCCGCCAAGGCTATTAGAGCAGAAATGAGAGCAAGGCTTGATTGGACCTGTGCACTCATCAATATCTGCCAAAACAAATTTATGACGATAATCATTATGGACAATCTATCATACATCCATTCCGATTATGATATTCTCTTCAATTATGTTGCAAGATGAGGATACATAATGACACAAACGATTAAATTTAAATTAAGTATCATGTTAAATGCACAATGTAATTAACTATACTACAAGAGGGAATTCGAAATGAAGTTCGACAACATTGTGGAGTATGACGGAAAAAAAAGTAAAAACATATATATTTCACCACGAATACTACAAAAATATAGACATTTAGCAACAGATCAAATTCGTTGCTAGATTGTACTTTTCTGTCGCTAAATATAGGTAGCGACAGATTTTGAAACGGAATTACTCCGTTGGCAAAACTGTTGTCGCTAAATGAGACTAACGCCGTTGTATTTGTTCTCCATTGCTGAACTTAGCAACGGATTTTTATTTCCGTCGCTGGTTTTAGCAACGAATTATTTTTATCTGTCGTTGGTATCAGCAACGGAAAAAAAAAACGCTGTCTCTAAATTTAGCAACGGAAAAAATTATTTTGTGTCTAAAAGTAGATGCTATTCAGTTCGACCTCACTCGGGTCAACCTAATTCAGCTTTGCATGTAAGGCTCCTTGAATCCCCAATCTCAAGAATCGCAATAGGTAGGAGTCGAACCCGTGACCTCAAAGTCACATAGTGAAACTCTTACCAACTATACCAAATATTATTTGTTTACTTCTAGTTTAGAAACGAATTTTCAAATCCGTTTCTAATTTAGAAACAAAATTTCAAATCCGTCTCTAATTTAGTTTACATAATTCGTCTTTAAAGTAATATTTTACATAATTCGTTTCGAAAATAATTTAGAGACGGAATTAAAAATCCGTCGCTCATATCAGCAACGGAAAAAAAAATCGTCTCTAATTTAGCAACGGAAAAAAAAAATCCATCTCTAAATTTAGCAACTGAAAAAAAATCCGTTTTTAATTTAGCAACGGATTTTTAGAAATGAATTTTTAAATTCCGTTTCTAAATTAATTTAGAGATGAATTTTTTAATTCCGTCTCTAATTTAGAAATGGATCGACTTCCATTGCTAGATTTCCGTTTCTATATGGACATTTTTTTGTAGTGGTTGTGAGGCGATTATTTTGTTAAAAGTTGCATTCAATTAAGTTGCACTCAACTGTGACACAAAATAATGTTCAAACTTATTCTTAGAAAATGTACTTATTAAAATATAGTAGTAATATTGTCAAAAAAGTACTTACTCCCCCTGTTTTTTTAAATGTCCCATTTGATCATCATCATAATTGTTAATGTGAAACTTTGATCAATGATTTTTAAATTGATAATAAGAGCAAGTAAAACTTAAAACTGGTCAAACTAATTGAGATCATGAGAAGAGAGAGATTTAATACTCGGGTAATAAAATAAGAAAATATGTCAAAAGAAAAAGTAAGACTCTAAAAAACGGACAAAAAAAAAGAAGGGTTGATGCATGAAAGAACTGACCTGTACAACCAGGGCTAAGGTAAGGATTACCCTGATAACCAGAAAGACAGCTACAACGATATCCTAATCCGTTATCAAAATCGGTACAGTCGCTATTTTGTTGGCAAGCATATGTAGCCGGATCCCCCTTGGCCTGACTACAGGTCTGATTAACTCCAACAAACCAATCGAGCATGACCGGGATTTCATCCTTCATCCTGCTTATGAACATTGGATCGGAAAGATTTGCTAGATTAAAGGTGAACTTATCCTGCTCCGCCAGGAAAGCGTGACCACAAGGATTGAAGTAGGACACATTTGTGTGATTGTCTAAGCTTGTTACGGATGTTATAAACGTTTTCAACCCCTTTGGAATGGATGTTTGGCAGCAACCAATCCCGGTACACGATCCATTAAGCACTTGATCTGGCCTGGCACACACTGCAATACACCCACTTGTAAAGGGGGTCGAGGAACGACCCAAGGTGCCTTGGATCAAAGCTAAGTCATCGCAACCTACAACGACAAACTTGTTCGCTATGTCTGAAAACACGAGTGGTAAATCGTCAAGATTTATCCATGCCGAACGCAATGATCTAGTGGAATTATCTATCTCCCCTCCTTGGTAGCATCTAGTTGCCATATAGTTTCGAATTCGCATCTGCACATTATCGAAAAGATCCAAGACCTCAAGGTTAGTCGTACCCAAGAAGGATTTCGGAGGGTCAAAGGAGGTGTTACAATTTATAATGTACATGCTACTAAGGGAACATGCTCCGTCTAGCCCAAATCCAAATGGTATTGAATGGTTAAGTTTCCGCATTTAGTTGGGCAACCGGTTTTTGCAATAGGGGTGGCGGCAAATGTGATCATAGCCAAACTCGACCAAAACCATGAGAAGAGAAGAAAGAGAGATCGTTTATCGAACATGCTTAGTTCTTTTTGGTTTGTTAGTTAAGAAAGGTGAGTCATTTTACGTACCCTAAGCTAATCTACTTATCTATGGCTTATGGACGACAAATCAAAGTCAACCACAAGAGAGAAAACGATAGCACAATGGAATAATTAACTGCCTGAGAGTGAACGTTGGAAACTTGGAATGATGATTGAGATTGAAGTTGACATCTTTTAGCACAACAAGCTTGTTTAATCCCTGAATATATACTCGGTCTTTGTTGAGCTAAGCTTAATCTTTCTATGTGATAGGACGGCGATTGGATTTAAAATTTATGTGGCAGTGAATTTATGTGGCAGTGATATTGGACTATTGGCCTTTTCTATCGAGATATCGCTATCTCCTAAACATAAACCGTCTCAATTATCTCCATACTTTACAAAAGGCCTTATATTGTCTGCTTTCGATCTCATGGTCTTGTGTTGATTTAATGGTGGGAGTTCGATCAACTTTGTGAATTTGAGGTTACAAGTTATCTTTAACGTGTTAATATGTTTAAACAAAATTCGTTCATACAAATATTTGCACTCCGTAAGTGTTGAAATTCATTGTAGCCCACTTGTGAGTTGTGAGTGTCCCACATTAAAGAAAGCGGAGAGATAGTTCCACTTTATAAGATTGAGGAGTTACTCCTACTATTGCCAATTGATTTTTGTATGGAAACTCCTAAACTAAGACATTCTTAGTTCATTCCTTCACTTTTTACCAAGTTGCCTAAAAAGAGCAAGTGATTATTAATTTGTTTTACTACAGAAAAATAAAAAAATAAATAAATAGTTTTTTCTGTTCTAGACTTCGATCTAGTGGACAAACGCAATACTTCAGTTTTATCAAACACCTAGCCTGGGCTAAACTTAAGAAGAATTATTGTGTCTGGCTCTTGGGCTGAACATAAGAAGAATTAATCTGGCCATTGGGCTAGGCAATGCTAGTCAACTGATTCATTGACTTTTATTTTTGAATTAGATAATTAAGGTCGTCATAAATGATGATTCCTCATAAAAAAAATAACCTATTCAAAGTACCAACTAAGTTTTATTCTCTTATTAATCAATCAGGATTAAATATGCAATTTACTAATTAAAATGCGTTGTCATTAGCCATGAACTATTTAATAATGCATGCCACAATTATAAAGAGGAGTCATCAACAGCATTTGCGCTAGCTGTTTCAGTTTGGCTTGAGAAATAGCTCAAAATAGTGAAGTATAGTACTTTAATTTCTCACTACTCAGGTAGGGAAATCAACAGGCCGGATTCATGGGAGTTTGGTCATCAAGACCACGGGCCGAAGGCGTACGTGGCCAGGAGAGTGACAATGGTAGCGCTAGATTCTGTAAGTTTGTTCTTTTCTACAGATTTCTCTATTAATAAGTATAAATGCTAGTGCTATGATCAGAATAAGTATAAATGTTTGTCTACTCGTACAAACATTTATGGTTTGCCTTCTATGCTTCACTAATATAAACGATCAATTTATCCGGTAATTGTATGCTGCATGCATGTTCAAATTCAAGAACCATGTAAAGGAAGAAGAAGAAATGCTGTTCAAATATTAACAAAATAAATGCAAAATTTTATATTACTCCTACAATATATCCAAGTTTAAAGATTCCTTTTTAAAGTCAAAGTCAATTAGCCAATGATGAAGATCAGGAGGGTATCACACATCCAAAAACTTTCACGATTCATCAATAATGTATGAAATAGTATTTAATTTAATACTTAGATGCATAATTGCATCATTATTGTACGTAGGGATTAACTAAACGATGATAATTAATAATAAGCATTAAAGAAATTGTTTTCTTCAACGGAAAAAGGTGTCTATCTAATTTATTAACTAATATTAAAATAGGTCATGCTAACAAAAAAAAATCAAATGAGCAAAGAAAAGAAAAGAGTAATTCCCTGTTCCTCACTGTGAGGAACAAATTTTATTCCTCATGGGGTATGTGTCAAGAGTAGAGAGGTCCACCCAAAATTGACAGACGGTCCCCACTAGTGAAAAACATCACATTATTTTCCAAAATGCCATTATGAGGAACAAAAGTGTTGCTCATGATGAGAAATTAGGGCTCCCTCGAAAAAAAACCTTTAGTGCAACTACCTCTACGTACACCTAGGTGCATGCATATAAAAGTTTCTAATTAAAGAGATTGAAGGTTCATATCTTTTATAGAAATGTTACAACAATTTTGGCACAAGTTTATAAAGAAAATGATGAGAATAATACGGGATGGGGGATGATGAGAGTAGAAGTAGTTACCGCAAAGTTTGCATTTCAACTAAGCTGCCATGGCATCAAACAATGCAAGTCTTACATAATGTTTATGCTGATACTTATTTTGTAAATGGCATCTCTAGTGAGCCGGCGTGCAAGAGGGCGGGTGGAGAACAAGTTGAAGGACCTAGGAGGTTACCTGCCTTTGTATAAAGCTGTTGTTAGAGGTGACTGGAATGAAGCCAGGAAATTCTTGGATGAAGACCCTGAAGCACTAATTGCTAAGATCACCATAGCGTCTGAAACAGCACTTCACATTGCGGTTGGCACAGGAAAAGATCTAGAGTTTGTGGAGAAATTGATAAGGAGGATGTCCCCTGAAGATTTGGCACTCACTGATCAAAATGGGGAGACTGCACTATCAGTAGCTGCAGTGGTTGGCAATATTCGAGCAGCTAAGTTATTGGTGAACATACACTGGAAGTAACATTTAATTTCCTAGCTAGAAATATTTCTTGCTATTTATGTAGGTTTTTATTTCCTAGGAAGTGCTACAAGTTCAAAGTTATCGAAAGGTTTTCTAATAAAAATTTAAAATATGTATCATAATGAGATGTTGGGACAATAGTACAAGAATTTCAAAACGAATGGGGTTAATTAATATAGCTTAGTCTCTAGAGAAGAGTCGTTGAAAATGATCTTTAATATTTTGATCTCTATGAGTTTATCAGGCATTGGTCTCTATTTGGTTGAACGGTACCCGGAGATGGCTACAGCTGAGGTACATGGTGTGGGTTCCCCGTTGGCTGTGCTAGCCAGAAAGACTAATGCTTTCCCCAGTGGTGCTGTTTCACATTGGCAACTACTATATGATCATCATGGTATGCTATTCTATAATCCAAATTCTTGATTCATTGTTAATATTGACTACGTTTACAATACACCCCAAAACTGGTATACTTCCCCTGTTTCACTAAAATTGCCTATTTAACAAGTAAAAGAAGACATATAAAGTTAATAGAGAAAAAGGAGGGAATAAAATACTTCCCTGTTTCACTAAAAAGAATTGCACAATAATGCAATAGGAAAGTGATTTAAGCACAATGATCATGATTGTTGAGAAAGTTAATTTGAAGCTCCCACGAATATACCTACATTAGGAAGGGAAATGCTATAGCTATTTAGCTACTCCGTATTTTAACATTAAGTACTTATTTGGGTGTGTGTTGTTGTAGTTAAATATCCTATAAAACTGCAACAAAGAGCGCAGATGCAACATGACGCACTTGAGCTTGTCAAAAGCTTGTGCATGGAGATATTAGAGTTGGACGATGCCAAAGCCTTCTCTTTATTTCAACAACCACTTTTAATTGCCGCAAATTTAGGCACTCACGAAATTATAGAAGAGATTGTAGACGTATTTCCTCCAGCAATTTGGGCTTCGGATGAGGAGAATCATAACGTGTTTCAACTTGCTGTCTTACATCGTCGAGAAAATGTTTTCAATCTTATACATCAAATGAGTGATTACAAGCATCTAATCACAAGATATATAGATCACCCGCATGATAATAACATATTACATTTGGCTGGCAAGTTACCATCTTCAGACAGGCTTAATCTTGTATCGGGTGCAGCTTTACAAGTTCAACGGGAGTTGCAATGGTTTAAGGTTTGCTTGCTGATTCTTCTACCACTTTTGTTTTCTCAAACACGATTAATTTATACGAGTATTCATAATGTAAACTCCGTATATGTTTTCAGGAAGTGAAGAAGTTTGTGCAGCCTGGCCAAAAAGAGGCAATAAACAAAGATGGGAAAACCCCATGGATGGTTTTCAAGGAGGCACACGAACAATTGATGAAAGACGGAGAAGCATGGATGAAGACTACAGCACAATCATGTACAGTTGCCGCGACACTGATTGCAACAGTAGCGTTCAATGCAGGACTTAAAGTTCCTGGTGGTGATAGCAAAGATGGCCTTTCCCAATTTTTTAATGATACTTCCTTTGGTGTATTTGCTGTGGCAGACGCTATATCTCTATTCTCTTCGGTCACTTCCATACTAATGTTTTTGTCAATCCTAACATCGCGTTACTCAGAAGATGACTTCCGAGTTGCACTACCAAGGGGGTTGGTTGTTGGAATGAGCATGCTTTTCATTTCCATAATAAGCATGATGATAGCCTTCAGCTCAGCAATCTACCTTGTGTTCGGTTATCTGAGGGCTCGAATTGTGATTCCGGTGGGTTCGATCCTTGTTCTGCCAGTAACCTTGTATGTGCTGTTGATCCCTCTCTATCAAATAATTACAAGGTCCAAACTCATTGGACCTGGACTTTTCGGCAAACAAAGTACCCGCATACTTCACTAAGGAAGGATTTTCATTATCCTCATATAATTACCTGAAAATAAAGAGAGATTTATTGGCTGAGGGGTAACTTGGTTATGACATATATATAAAACTAGATCTATATGGCACGATGGTTATTTTAAATTTCATAATTCATACAGTAACTATTTTGAAAAAGTAAGTAAAATTTAAGGGCATACATTATCACCCCCAGTGGCGGACCCAGGAATTTCCGACTGGTGAGTCACAATTGATAACCAAATATGTAAAAAGAAAAAATTTACCAAAATTCCCAAGAGAAATTATTTACAAAGATCATCCAAATAGAAAATTGACAAGATTACAGTACTAACTAATAATTAACAAGCTTAAAATTGACAAGACTAAAATTAACAAACTAATAATTAACAAGCTAATAATTGACAACATGACAAGCTTAGCTCTCTAATAATTAACAAACTAATAATTGACAAGATTAAAATTTGTACAAGCATTAGGTTCACATTTCATCAAAAACCCAACAACATTAACAAAAGGTTCAAAGTTAGTATTTTTTTTTAAAAAAAAAACTTAGAAAATAATTTATTTATTTATTTTTTTAAAAAAAACTTAAAAAATATTTTGGGCCCTGGTGAGTCATTTGACCCACCAGGCATAAGGCCAAGTCCGCCAATGATCATCCCTTGACTTACAGTAATAGAGATTTTTCATTTCTTTTTTAAGATATTTGCCTCTTAGAAACAAAAATAATGTTTGAGTTATTTACATGGAGATTTTATTTGGACTATTTCATATACTGTGTATAAGTTAAATTTTTCTTAATTATGTAACTTATTCTTAATAATGTATGAGTCTATAGGAATATCAATCATGGTATCCCTCTTATAAAGATATCGCCAATAATATACAATTGGGATCTCCAAGGTATCATGTCCTAGTGTGTGCAACCACCACAAACTTGGATTAGGTGGAGATAGCTCTTTTCTAACTACTTTGTGTACTCAAGAGGGATGCTATATTTTTTTGGAAAAAAAAAAAAAAAAAAAAAAAAAAAAAAAAAAAAAATTGGATTAGGTTTGGTCATTTAGTTTAGTTTATGACTGCAACAGCTCAGTAATTGTTCAATGAGATTTTGTTCTTTTTTAAAACTTATCTCGAAACTGCAACAACTTTTGGTTGAATTGGTACTCAAGCGAGATTCTATATGAGAATACATGTCATTTTATTATATACTAGTTTAACTCTTGTACGATATACGGTTTAACAAAAAGAACACAAATTGATTAATATTACAAATTTAAAAGCATCATAATTTTACAATTAATTGAAATGCTTTTAAAAATAAAACAATTGTGTTACATTGAATATTAATCAAAATTATAAAACAAAGGAATCAATAACTGTACACATTAAAAAATAAAAATAAATAAAAAATAAAAAAATAAAATAAAATAAAAAAAACAGAGAGAAAATTTAAATATTGAAATAAGAAAGAGGCACCAAAACAACGTAATTGAGGAAGAAGAAAAGCAATAAGGGGCCATTTGGTTTGCACAGGGGAATCAGAATAGAATGCAGAAAGGGAATGAAGAAGAAAGGAATGGATTAACCCTGATTTGCCCTAGTTGTTTGGTTGTATCCAGGAAACGGAATGAAATGCTGACTGATTCCCTTTGTGACTGTTTTGTTCAAACTAGGGAATCAAACCATTCTATACAAATTCATTCGTGCTATAGCAAAAAACTTTCAACAATGGCAAATTCTATAGAAAATTCAATCACCATGAAGGCACTTATGAACAAATTAAAGAGTAATATCAATTTAAAACAAGACAAATCCACAAAGTTACATAAATTCAAGAAAAAAATGAAAACTGCATTACAAAATCAAAACCCCAATTTCTTGAGCTTGAATCAATGGCTGCCACCGCCATTTCCCCCCAAAACCTTTAAACCAACTCTTACCCTCTTTCTCTCTCCTCGGCGAAGAAGAAGAAGACGACGACGGTTGCGACGACGAGCTCGAATTCGACGCCCCTTTGCTCCCCTGTTTCGCGTCGTTTTTCTCCGACGAAGAAGAAGAAGATGAATTGGGTGTAGTAGAATCAGTATCTTGCTCGCAAGAACTATTAGCTCGAATTCTGGTAGTACCCTTCCACAAGTTAGAGGAATTGCAGAAATCCCTAGAAATTGAAACCCTAGAAGAAGAAGAAGAAGAAGAAGAGTAGAAATTACATGAGAAGCTTGAGAAGAGAGAGAGAGAGGGGCGTCGGTGTTCGACTTAGCTTCACCCGCGATCTTGACGTGCACACCGGAAGGCTCGGTCGGACCGTGGCTCACCGGCGGCGGCAACGTCTTCGACCATGGCAGGGAGCATCCAAGCAATGGAGAGGCTTGAGAGGAGAGAGAAAGGGGCGTGAGTAATGAAGGGGAATGGGAATGCAAAAGGTAGGGGAGTGGGGAATGGGTTTAGGGGATTTTTGGGTAAACCCAAAAATAAAATGGGGGAATGGAAATGACAAAATTGTGAAAACAAACACTAACAAAGGGAATCATTCTCATTCCCTTTCCCCATTCCAGCGAACTAAACGGCCCCTAAGGGTTTTCAATAGTTGGGGGAAATGGGAATAGTACTATTTTCTAGGCATAATAGATGGAAGGATTTAGCAGAAAAGAAAAAAAAAATTATTAAAATAATGTCATCAATACATTTAGGCGGGAAATTTTTTTATGAGAGCATGATATATGTACAATTTAAGAAGATAATGATGTCAACGGTTTCTATTTTAGTATTAATTAATAATAATTAATAATTAATTAATTAATGATTCTAGATATGGTTTGATGATCTAAATAATTATATTTTCAAATAAAGATATATGATGTACAAGGTGGCCAGCACACGCTAATGGCCCATTCATTCTCAAATACAAACTATCAAGCCAACTGGGACATTCATTAAACTTTCTGTCGAGGTCAATTACCATTTCTTAATAAAATTGATTACGACCACACTAACTTGGCTTCAACTCCGGCACCACATTAACCAAATTAAATTTGCACCCAAACAAAAAAAAAAAAAAAGCCAAAGCGTGTTTTTCGAAAGCCACTTGAATTTAATTAAGGACCTGTTCTATTCTTCTTGGAAAAACAGATCTAGAAAATTTTAGATGAGCTAATAATTAGTGATTTAGTATTCTGTCTGTACTCTGATTAAAGTTCATTACATAACGGCTAATTAGTACATATAAATTGAATTCAAAGCCTTTTCTTCTGCTTTTCAAAGTTCCGATAATTATTCAAAGTAAAAATACTTACAAAGTATAATACGTTTTTTTTCCTTTTGAATTCTTGTATAGTATCCATTTCATCCCTATTTGAATTTCACGATCTTCAAATACGTTTTAAAATATACAATATGAGTAAAAATTACAAGGTTTTGATTTTCTAAAATTAGATATTAAAAAGTATTACCCCCGTTTCATATTATGTGCAACATTTACAAAAAACGGATGCTACACATAATGTGCATCAAATGTTTTCTTTCCTTTTTAAGTTGTCATTTCTCTCAGTCTCGCTTCTCATCATATGCATATGTATATGCATATGTATCTTTCTCTCTTGATTTAACACTCACAAAAAAATTGCTCAGGAGTCCGTGTCAAAGCCATTACTGCGCATAGTATGAACAGAGATCGTATAAAAATAAATCCACATGATTCTATTGTTTCTTTTATAATGGTGAAGTTCGTGGTTAAACTTTTTAAAATTTGACACATAAAAATATAATGGATCGCTCTTTAGGGAACAAAGAAGTACTCTCTTTCGAGTGGATAATAGTTAGAGCTGAAATTCAGTTGCTTGAGTCGGGTTTGGTTTGGTCAATGTAACTCAAGTTAGATATGGGTTGGACAAAAGATTAAAGAGTCAAATTTAACTCATACTCTCTTTAACCAGATCTATTTGTCAAATGGCTTTAAGGTCGTGGAACTTCCTTAAACTTGTAAAATCATAAGGGATTGAAAAAACACAAACTATTGGGTCAGTCCAACCTGACCAGACATTTCGTCTGTCCAGCTATTATTTGTACGGCAATACAAACTTCTCACACCCTCATTTTCACTCACCACCACCAAGAGTACTCCCACGACATCCTACTTCACTTTCTCTCTCCTCTCTCACCTTTGACCCACCCCTATTTTCTCTCTCCTCAACTTTCTGCTAAATTCCTCCATTTTATTTGTCCATGATTTATGCTTGAATTGAAGAGGATGGAGAGGAGAGAGAAAATATAGATTGTTGATTATATTTGTCCATAATTTATGCTTGAATTGGTTTGATAATTGCTTAAGATTTTCGGATTTTTTGAAAAATGTCCAAAAAATCGATTTGGGGCTTTCTTGGGTGATGTATAATTGTTGAAATTGATTGTCTTATGTAATTGTATGTTGAATTATGAGCGTTTTGATAACAAAAGCATGTATTTTGGTTGAGAAATGAGCATGTTATGTTATACCCACGAGCTTAGTACAGGACCTTCAATGATGGTTTCGCCATTGTAACCTTTTAATTATTTTTATAAAATAAATTATATTGTGTAGATTATATCATCTATAATAAGTTGGATGATATCATCTATAAGTTGGTGTTATCCTCTATAAGTTGGAAGATATCATGTATTGTGTCTATAATATTATCCATACGATGGATGATATCTCCTCTATTGTTTTTTTATATCATTTATTGTTTTTAAGATACGAGTATCTTCTATGAGTTGGATGATATCCTCTATTGTTTTGATAATATCCTCTATTGTTTTTATGATATCTTTCATAAGTTGGATGATATCCTCTATTGGTTCTATGATATAAGCTAGATGATATCATCAAATGTGTATAAGATATCATCAGTGGACTGGATGATATCTTTTATTGGCTACATGATACTCCCTCTGTTTCATAATATTAGTCTCATTTAGAATCTTTTGACTATTAAAAATTAGTAGAGAGAACCTTCTAAATTTTTCTCCCTATATAAGAATAAACAGTCTTATAAGATCTATATTTATTCGTCTCGATGAGTACTTCATTAATATCTAATTTTTATAATTTTTACTATTGTGAGATTAAAGATATTTGCGATAAAAAATTTGCATCGATATAAGTAAATGGGACTAACATTATGAAATGGAGGGAGTATCATTTATAATTTGTGTCTATGATATCCTTTATTCGCTGGATGATATCCTCTATTGGCTATATGATATATTTATAATTGTGTCTATGATATCCTTTATTGGCTGAATGATATCCTCTATTGACGATATGATATCATTTATAATTGTGTCTATAATATCATTTATAGGCTGGATGATATCATCTATATGCTGGACGATATCCTTTATTGGCTATATGATGATATACTCTAACAAACTGTAGTATCTTTTTACCAAAGATAATGTACATATCATCTATCAAATACTACATATCCTATAACAAACAATACATATCCTACAACAAAACTGTACGTATCCTCTATTAAATAACACGTATTCTCTAACAAGTTGTACATATCCTCTATCAAATAATACATATCCTGATCAAATATTGCATATCATATATATTTGACGCACGAATTGTTTGGTGCGGCTTGCCGCACCCAATACTTTCTCTAGAAAAAATACTCCCTCCGTTAATTTTTATGTGCAACTTTTACTATTTTGGTCCGCTAAACATTATGTGCAACTTTCTATGTTCTTTCCTCTTTTAGTAAAAAAGAACTAGTCAAATGTCAATTTTACCCTCATTTAAAAAATTAAAACACAATTTACTTACTATAATCAGATTTTATTAATCACTAATTCTCACCCAATTTTCACCCCAACCAACCCAATCTAATTCATCAAATCTTCATCTTCAATTCAAGAAACCCAAAACCATCCTCATTCATCTTCATCTTCATTTTCACCTTCCCCCATATTTTCTCTCTCCTCTTTCAAAACCAGAGACATTCATCTTCATCTTCCCCCATATTTGCTCTCTCCTCTGTCATCCTCATCTTCCCCCATTGATCTTCTTTCTCTCTCTTCAACTTCAACCGGCGATTTCGTGGGTTTTCGTGAGGGTGGTGGTGGTTTCGTGGGGTTGGTACTGGTGGTGGTGAAGCCCGCATTGAAGGCGGCGGTGGTGTTGGTGAAGGCCGTGTGGGTCGTGGTTTTGGGTTTGAGTTGGGGGTTTAATTTCTGGTGGGTTGGTTTTCGTGGGTTGTCGTTTTCGTGGTTCCGTTGATGGGTTTTGGTGGATGGTCATGGATTTGGGTTTGGTGGGTGGGTTTTGGTGGGTGGTTGTGGATTTGGGTTTCGTGGGGTTGTTTGGAGGTGGTGGCCTGGGTTTTTTGTGGGTGGTATGGTGGTGATTTCGTGAGGGTGGTGGTGCTTTCGTGGGGTTGGTTGTGGTGGTGGTTTCGTGGGGGTGGTAGTGGTGGTGGTGAAGCCGGCGGTGGTGTTGGTGAAGGCAGCGTTGGTGTTGGCCGGTCTTGGTGGTGGCAGTGGGTGGTTGATTAATTATTCAAACATTCTCTCTCCACCTTAATTACATACCCCTATAATACATTAATCACCATTATCAAGTTTTGCCTCGTGAACCGTAAAATCCCCCAAAGTTGCACTTAAAAATTAACGGAGGGAGTATATACGTAGTATATGAATTAATAAAAAAAAAATAATAAAAAAAGATTAAACAATAGGTATTGTCTAATTGTCCAACTTACACAGCTGACTAGCTAGTTTAAAATTACATCAATACCATGTGTATTACTGTATTAGAGTGGGTATTGACTAATAATTATGCTAAATTCAATAATGCGTTGTCACTTGTCACAATATATTTAATACTACTAGTACTGTAAGCCGTAAGAAGCTGTACTGTTGAATCAAGGTTAGGCAAAAACTCAAAAAAAAAACTGCAAATGTCGCTGTTGTTATCTTCGTTGTAGTTGGTGTTGTTGCAAAAGAAGCAAAGGGAGGAACGTAGATAATCTAGTACTGGAATTGAAGCAAACGGATCCATGGGTATTAGTTCTTCTAAATCAATGGCGGACGTTGAACTTGGCCAAGAGAGTGACTTTGATAGCCGCAGAATGTGTAAGTTTTTCATTTTGTTCGTTGTTTTTTTCTTTGCTTAACTCATGTTTCTCATTCTCTACCAATGTTAACGAATAATGTTTAGGTTTATTCATTACAGTACATTAAATCTATATAGGAATAATTATACATAGTAGCTGCATTGCTGCAATGTTATTGTTTCTTTACTCTTTAGCACTAATTAAACTATCTAGACAACTATAGGTCTATACCAGCCCAAGTGATTATAATTTACCATCCATATATATATATTTTATTTATTTTTTTTAACAGCGGTTATGCTTAATTATTAAGAAAGGAAAATTAAACTAATTCTTCCTCTGCTCCACAAATATTGCAGCAAGAATGAAATTACGCATCCCAAAGAACATTTTATATGCTAAATATCTATAATTATATAAGAGTTAAAATTATTAAAAATTGATATTGTGAAAGTACTTTACGAGACGAATCTAACAAGACCCCACATGACTATATTTTACTTTACGTATAAATCATAATATGTGGTCAAACAAGCGTGATGAATACTGTAATAGTCCAGTTATTGCAATATTACTAAAACGAAGGAACTATGATATTTTTGTA